AGGACAACGCTATAGGTTTTTTGTCCTTTAGAAACCTATATACCTATATATTTGTAATTTATTTGTAATTGGAGTAAAGAACATGTTAGCTTTGTATACTTAATTCTGGAAGTATCGGAATAAGCCGATCCGGACGATTTTTGGTTTGGCCAGGTAAATGGTTCTCGCGAACCATTAGCGCGGCTCAGCTATCAGGATTCGATTTCGCGTATTTACAAAGGCGATAACTGGGAATTGTCTTACTTGTCTTCGCATTGTCTGTACAAATCCAATTATGAAGCCATTACACCGCCGTTTTCTAGCAGTACTTGTAACACTCTTTATATCTCGAGTGGATGTTTGTTCACCCAATGCTTGAACCTTAACAATTAAATTTAATTTCATATAATTACATTAATCACTGAACGGCAGTAAATGATCTGCTGTACGATTTAATGCGTTTTTAATGAAACTTTTATTTATATTACTTGGATGTAAAGAAAGGCTGATAATTTATAAGATTTAAGCGAGTATTTCACAAAGAGTTTTAAGCACAAACTTGAAGTAGAAAACCAAAAAATAATCATATCTACGGATAGCTAAATGGTAAAGGTTTACCGCATGCGCAAATGTCGCTAACATTTCCGAAAATTTGCTATATATTTAGTTTATAATTTCCCTTTCAATGGCCAGAAGTATATGCTAATGTCAGCGTTCAAGTGTCAGATTTAAATTCTGTGTCCACATAGCCATCTTATTCCATATGTCTATCTGCTATTACATCAGCAAAGCAATGCCGTAGAAAACTAAAAATTAACTTAAGTCATCAGCAAAGTAATGCCGTAGAAAACTAAAAATTAACTTAAGTCATCAGCAAAGTAATGCCGTAGAAAACTAAAAATTAACTTAAGTCATCAGCAAGATAATTAAAAGACTGAAACACTTTAAAATATATTCCACACAAATACACGGATTGTAGCTTACATCAAGGCAAAGCTTGACACAATTGCTTATAATAGCCTTCGACTGTGCAAAAACAGTTACCATTAAATTACTGATGCGCTCATAATTGGAGTGAAAAAATATATTATATATAATATTAAATATCTATAAATATATTTGCAATTACTTTATAGCTCTGATGTACCGATTACAAATATGCATAACACATATTATTAGGTTGGTTGCACTTACTTTATAACTCCGATATAACGATTAAAGATATACATAACATATATTGTTCGGTCAATGGCTTATTTTCCGCTAACTTTTTAGTGCTTTTCCGCTTACCAAGATAAAGTGGGTAAGCTATGAATAAAATCTAATGCAGTCCCATCATTATTCGGAACAATTTTTATTTATATTCATGACATTTCATTTTTGTCTATAATATATTATTTACTTTTCCATTCCCGTCGCGATCTCTTTAAGGGGCGCGTACTTCTACCGGAGAGAATGTCTAAGCAAAAATAGCCATCGAAAAATTTTTACCAACTTTTGTTGGAGAAATATTGATTCGTAAGGGATTGGTGTTCAAATCGACCGCTAACCTCTGATATTAATAAAATTAAGACCTTAATCAGTTATGACCGGTATTCCATGCGCCAAGTGCTTTATGATAACTTGAAACGATCAACTTTTGACGATTTTGTAGATATCAAACTTAACCTTAACATTGGCGGATCAATTTTTCCGAAATCTTTAAAAAAACTTGTCTACGTCACAAGCGATTTGAAAAGTTTCAAGTTGACGACTATAGAAATGCAATGTGATTTCAACATTAAAGTATCAATTATTTCGAAACATTTACAAACACTTGTCTTACTTGGAAGCGATTTGTGAAATTCCATCCTAATCTCAAACGTTGGTGAACCAGCTATGTCGAAAATGATTTGCGAACTGTCAGCATATTGATCAGTCAAGTATTTGTAGATATTGGAAACTTATATATGAACCGATCAGCTTGCTTATGATAAATTTTATATTTAAAATTGGCATTTTGAATCAATCACTCAATAAAACGCTTGTTTCACAAGCGCCTTAACGGCAAGCAGGACTAACCTGGTGAATGCAATCCTTTCCCTTATCCACACTTCAGATCAAACGATGTAAAGGCACTCTAGTGGGACACGGTTCACCATGAAATGCCCTAAGGAACTTTGCTTCATATAGTTATTGACGCAACAACTTTTCAAAATAGGATGTTATATGACAAGTGGTCTGATCCGAATTATTTTGAATAGCGTTCATTCTTAGGTCAAAATATGTAAATCTACCAAATTTCATCGAAACATCTCAAAAATGGCAACCTGTAGGTTGAATTGAAAAAAACGAAACGGACAAAGTTCAGACGGACAGACAAGCTTAGATCGAGTCAGAAAGCGATTCAGAAAATCATTCTGTCAGTAAAATGAAAGATGAATCTACTTCAGATCCTTCTGGATGTTGCTTATATCTGCACTAAGTTAATGCACCCTTGCACCACAAATAGTGTAGGGTGTAAAAATTCGGTGAAGCATTCAGTTGGATTCTCGGAAAAGTATGATCCAATTCTAACCAAGCAGGGATGGAGTAGATTGTCAGACAACTTTTTTTGCAAAGACTTTTGACAGGTTTTCTTGTTTAGGTAACCCAGACAAATGGAAATGACGCTCGCTCGAAATTTTATTTATTTTTTTTTTAACCCAGATCTTATTTATACATTTCCATCACCCAATCGTCAAAAGTGCAATCAGGAAATTTTTCGTCTAAAGGTGATGGCAATGACTATTTTGTAGCAACAGTTCCAACTGAAAGACCCTGCGCGTTAAATTTTCGCATTACGGATCTTTTCAAGCTACGTATACGTTAATGATGCAGACGCACAGAAATGAAATTTCGCAAATCAGTTTTGCCACTGGCTGTCTATCCTTTCTATCCGCTTCCAAACGGATCAAATAATTCTTCTCTTGCTTGAACAACATTTTTACCTTTTCGCCAGCAACAGCAGCTTTCAAGTTACCAAACGAAAACTTTTGCATAGATTCAAAAAAAATGTTTCCCACACTAGCAGTACGATAACAGACAGTGCGCCTTAAATGTGAACTTGGCTGTGAAAAAATCAAACCAAATCCACTGTTGAGAAAGCAAAGACGAAATAACTTTCCAAACAACCTAATACTATGAGAATTTTTGATATGAAACTTTGAATTTTAGTTCAGAACAATTTAGTGTAAAAAAATAATTTTAAACTGACAACTAAATTTAAACGCAATTATTTATCTTTTAAAAACTTGTGAAAAAATATTTGTTTAGTGAATATCTATAATATCTATATAGTGAATAATATAAAAAATACTAAACTTAATGGAAGTGATAAGTGATTTGAATATAAATGATATATGAATTTATGCATATTTTGACCTGACCTTCTGAAGGCTTAATATCTGTTCGACTAGTTGTTGTTTAAGTTATTAAAAAAGCACGTTTTTAAGCCTACATTAAATAATATGTAGGTGAAGTTGTTCAGAAGCTCACGCACGCACAGCCCAAAACAATTTTAAAAAAAAAACTTAAAACGTGTTATTGTCAACGTTTATGATCTGATTTATACTTTTGATTGTTTAGTTATTGTCATCGTTGGCACATATATATATATATATATATATATATACCTTTCTATGTCCTCTCTCTCAATATAGCTAACGTTTCATTAAAGAGAACCGCAACTGCATGTTGCGTAGTAGAATAATATTTAATGAATGAAAGCACCACTTGTAGTACTGGGTATATAAACTTTATGCGGACATATGTAACAAACCAGGAGAGCTTAAGTCAGAGCCATCTTTTATTATTATGTAAGCTTGTCCGTCCGTCTGTACGTCTGATGTCTGTCCATGTAGTGTTATACTCAACCTACCGACGGCAGTTATCGAGATATTTTGATGAAGTTTGCTAAACTGACATCCTTCGTTCCAAGGACGCACGCTATTGAAAATAGTTTGAATCGGTCCACTTTTCCAACCATTCGTCATAGCATGACTTATCTTGAAAAGCCCTCATATGGAAAAACTAGCTGTTTTCAAAATTTCTCACTTAATGTAGCTGAGTAATAGTATTCCCTCATTCTAAATTGGTATAGGAAATTTGGTTTGTCTGGGCCAAGTTTTAATATGTTCTCTCATATAGCCGTTCCCACGAAACCTGAATCTTTAGAAAGGTACAAGGGTCTACTTTTCGGTATGTTATGCTAAAAATTTGATCATAACAGTAAACTGGCAAAGAAATCAAATTTGGACCACGTTGGTCTATTTTCTGAACACCACCATCTATTTGAGATTCTCAAAAAAAATACATTCTTATATTCCAAAAATTATTTATAATGAAAATTTGTTCAAGATAGTAATTTGACATCATAATTAAGTGGACCATATTTAAATCGAATTGACGTATATCTTAGACCCAACTCCATATAACATTGCTCATGATTAGTAAGTCCTCCAGAAAAAAAGCTTAATCTTTAATATTTTATGATGAGATTTGCTCCATAGTGGCAAATTAGCACAAAACTTAACGGTAGTGAATGTGGGTCTGATGGCTCTACGTATTAGACCCTGGGTCATCATGACAAAGACCTAATTTCTAGTTTCTTATGGCGAAAACTGAAAAATAATAAAATTTTTTGAAAGTAAATTAAGTTTGCTAAATGTGGATCCCATCATGCGATATTTTCGAGGACCCTACAATATGAAGGCTTTCATAAAAAGTATGCGTAAAATAGTAATGTGTTAGTTTTGGTGAATAACTTTAATGGGTAAAGTGGTGTATGGTATCTAATGGTTGGCCTTGCCCGACTATAATATTCTTACTTGTTTTCATTTTAAATTAAAATTTACATATTAAGTAGTATAATTTAAAGAGCGTTGGCATCGAAGGCCATTGACTCAGAATGGAAAATAATTTTACTATTAACACTTAAAGTTGGAAGGAAAGAGAACTAATTTTGTATTGTCTTTTTTTTTTCTTTTTTTATGCCTGTTTAGGTCTACTGTAGTTCTCATGTACCAAAGAGTGGTCCCGGCCATTTGGATAATACATCGGTGGGTATACGCCAGGCGTTAAATGCCCCTCGCACTAATAAATATGTTAATGAGCAAATCCGAGGAACACGTACCGAAGTCGACGGTAAATAATAAATAATTTTTTTTTTCTTAATAAACTTGTAAAAAAAAATAAATAAATAAATAAATAAATGAATAAAATAAAATACATGAAACATGAAAATTTCAGGCAGCTTTGGTTCACGTCAATCTACACCAAATGGTTATGGCAATCGTGACATTCAATCGCCGCAATCACAAAATGATACCGATTACAAATATGGTCGTTTCGATGCAAGCGCTCTGCACATAGCGCACGCTCTTAAACAGACTGAAATACAAAAAGCCTACAATAAGGCCAGAGAAAAACCAATCGATTTCTATTTGGTAAGTGAAAATGTTTTTTTTTTTTTTTTTTTTTTTTTTATAATCACTTGAATCATATTTATTGCTTAAATTTTTTTTTATATTTTCAATACAAGTTTGCGGCTTAAGTCTTTTGTTTTCTTTAACTTTTGTTAAACAGCATAAATTTTTAAAAATGTTTATGTTATAAAGGTTTCTGCTAACTGTTTATTATCTATAAATCATCGTTTACAGTTCGTTCTCCTATTACCCATCCATCTCAAACCCCCAACTCCTCTTCCTGTTGCGCCTCCTCCTTTATATCTACCTACCTGTATCATTTGTATGGTCAAGTAATTGCATGTTTTCAATTTTAATCACACGTAAAATATTCTTCGTTTCTCTCTCAGTTATTTATAATAATGTTGTATAAGAGCAAAAAAAATATTTTTTTATTTTTATTTTGAAAAAAAAAAAAAAAATTAAGAAATTAATTAGTGCAGAACAGCTAAACAGTAAAATTGTACTTAACTGCATACAGCCTTATAGACAATAAAGATATACAATGCACTTATAAACTAACTAACAATGCTGGCGCAGTCGCTTGTATGTTTTATTGCTCCCTTGCTGTTGCTGCTGCCGCTGCTGTGCTGGTCAAACACAAAACTGTTTACGGCTAAGTCATTGTTTAAAATGTTGAACCGAATCAGCAGCAAATACACCTTAAAAAAGTTTTGTGCAATCTTTGTTAAATTAGCTTAATTTCGTTGATATTATATTACAAACAAACAAACAAACAAACAAACAAACGATATTGCACTGCATGGTAATCGAGCTGAGTGCAAAAGCTGAGGTCAAAATTGCTTGAATTTCTTAAAGAAATTCCAAAAAAATTAACAACTAATTATTGCTTCCTTTCTGTTCTCATATACAACGCAACTCTTTACTCGCAACTTTTTACTCCTAAACATGGCTAGTGTCAATGTAAACATAAAAATATGTTGTTTTTGTTTCGCTTTTTTTCATTCAACTCTAAATACTTGACATCAAATTACATGACAAACAACAATTTACTAAAAACCTACGCATTTCGTTGCACATATGTACACTGAAAGAAGTATTCACTTGAAATATACAAAGAAACCGCCATTCATTTACTTACTGCCTTTTAAAAAATTTTATTTTAAAATTATCTAAAGCAAATATTTGTAAGGATTTGTACTAGATTTGACTCTACATTCGTGAATATTCGTTTGGTGCACGCTATAAAATATTCCCGCCTTTCCATCCGTCCATCTTTCCGTCCCTCGTTTCGTCTATCTCTCTGCGCTATAATACTTATGAATATAAAATATGAAAGAAAATAATATTCGCACACACACGCATTACCTTTGTCCTAAAAAAAGACAAAAAAAAAAAAACAAACTTCGGTTTCCATAATCTGTAGTATTTTTCTTTAAAGTATGGGCCAATCACTCAGAGGACGTCCCCATCCCCCAATTGTGTTTTGAAAATTTTTCAAATAATTTATTCCGGTAATAGAATTGAAAGAACATTGCTTACGATAATTGCAAGCGAGAAATTAACGCCGATTTTCCCAAGGTATTTGGCTGTTATCAGCAATTACGCTTCAAACTTGAATTAGTTTCTCATTCGCTATCACAATCTTTAACAAATAATTAAGATTTTTGAAATTGTAAATGGAAAATTATATTCGGTTGTGACCGAATCTTCTACGCTCCCTAAAAAGAGAAAAAAACGAAAATAGAAAATTTTTCATGCAGTATAATAAAGAGTGAGCGCGGCTGACTTTCTTTATTTTCAAAAAAAAAAAGTTTTTACTGCATAGGTGTGTGGTATCGTTGAAAAGTTTAAGTTACTTCCAAATTCTTTTGCAAATTTGTAGGCGAAAATATTCTTTTTCGTTGGACAGACGGATGGATGGACAGCCGGACGTGCTTAGATACATTCCAAATTTGAAACTGGCCAAGAATTTATATTCTTAATGAGATTCTCGAAGCTTGTTTCCGTGCCTTATAAAAACCTTTCCTATTGAAAAACAAAAATGTTTCCAGTTTACATGGTGATGTGGACGCGTCCTTCCACCGATTTGGCCCATTTTTAATACCAATCTGCATGAAAGAACTCCCAATGTTTCTGCCATTATCCTTCCTCCCATCTCCAAAAGATTATCAAAAACTTGGCATTTTTTTACACCCTTACAGTGGTGTTGCCCTTTAAACATGAGGGTGAGGTTCAGTTTAATCTTTTCTCTTGAAATTGTTCGGTTCAAATACAGGTTCGTGGGTCGCTTTTGTCAGTAAAATATGCAAAACAGAACTGTCAACTAGGGCCACACATGTTTAGCGTGATGAACTTGAAATAAAAGTGAAATTTTGGCCACCAAGAACGTGCGATTTCTCATCACTGTTGTTTTCTTTTAGTGGATCGAGTTTATGTGAACAATCGTCAAACTCTTGAGACTTTGAAAACCGAGCCGGGCACATAACTCAACGAAACAAAGGCAGGTCCTGTGCAGGACTGATATTATATTCCACAAATAATTGCAGGGTCCAAGCATTATATACGAAAAAAAAAAAAAAAATTATCTCAATATCAATCAGAGGAGCATTTTATTTGCGTAACTAGAAAAATAACTAGAGTTTAAATATCGTGTTCAACTGCATTAGGTTTAACGCGATTTCCAAATAATTCACTAGGTTTTGCTCGTTTCCTTGAAGAATTTCTGTATAGCGAACATGCACCACTTGAGATAAACACATAAGATATACACGAGTACACATATGTCTTACCTTTAGCTACATATATATATGTATATAAATAGATATATTATTATATTGCTTTGAGGTGATTTAAAAAGAAAGTTAGATAACTTCCGTAACCACTTCCTCTCTTTCTTATAGTTTTCAAAATAATTTATTGATGGGTTATAATACACACGTCTGTTAGTAAATACAATGTGAAAATTAATTGTTGTTGGTGTTGTTGTTGTTGTTGTTGTTGTTGTTTGACTGTGACCGTCTTTAGTGCCTTTAGCAGTGAAAGCAATGCAAGTTTATGTTACACACATAAAGATATTCAATCATTTTTATGCGTTTAATGACCGCAAAATTTATAAAAAAAATTTTTTCTGCTACAAATACAAACGCAATTAATTTACATAATAGAGATTAAATTGAATAAATTGACTTGAAATAATTCTACTTAAAAAGACTTTAATATAATAAATAGTTCAAGCTGTGTTGACATTAAATAAATCGAGAATTTATAGTGTTTATTGCGTTATCTTATAATGACTGACTTTATTTAGACCCAAGAAAGAGGAAGAATGACAAATAGCAAGTGTGTGGCAATACGTCAGTCAAGGCAAGCTTTTTATGCATTTGTAGCTTCTTTCTTTTAGTTGTTTTTTTTTTTTTTTTTTTTTTTTTTGACGTTGTATCATAAGAGTATTTGCAACAAAACACACACAGTAAAGATGAGTTGTTGTTAAAAAAAAGACAAAAAAGAGCAAATGTAAAAATGCAGAAGAAAAAAGGCCAACAAAAACAACTTGTACAACTATGTATCTATTGTAGCGATTACTAGCTATTGTGTACTAACGGTGTTGTTGTCATTTGTTATTGCGTTACTAAATTATGCACCAGAGTGAAAGTAACCGATGCCACAAGTATCCATAAACATATATAGAAATGTATATATTTATATATATATATATATATATATATTTATACGGTCCACCCATCCGTCCGTCTATCAGCCAGTCAGCCATTCATTGATTCATAGGAAACAACGTCAACGGTAGCAAAAAGTCAGCGCAAAATTTTACTATAGTAACACGAAGTTGCATGTTTTGTTTCTCTCCATTTTAGTTTATTGGTAACTTTACGTTCGAGAGATTTTTTTCTATTTTTTTTTTTTTTTTTTTTTCAACAAAACATCAAAGTAAATTGAATGTCTGTCATGCTGAGTCAATGCTTTACCTCCTATTATTATTATTATTATTATTATTATTGTTGTTATTGTACATCATTGTGTCAGTGCTGTATATATGTGAAGACGGACTGACAGATAGACACTATGAGGGATTATTTCTAGGTTTTGAATGAAGGTATGCGAGAGTACTGTTGATGTTGTTACTTTTTTTTTTTCTTCTTTTTTTTTTCTATAGTAGCCGCATGCACTAAGCATATAATACATAGTTACTTCTGGTGTTGTTATTGCTATTGTTGTTGCTGTTGTTGTGTGTGCAAAGCCTATGTTTAAAACATCACAAATTGTCGCTTAATAATAGCATTTAAACTGAACGACGTTATTGCGAAATTATTTTTTGCTTTTTTGCCTTTTTTGAAAAGTTGATATCATTTGAGAAAATATTTTCGAAAAACCAATTTTTTTTTTTTTAAATATAAGTTAACTACTAAAACGTTTTCATAAAAAAAAGGGTTAGAAAAAAATTTTATTAATTTATTCAAAAATACAATTCATCAAGTTTATGAATCAGAAAAATACATCAATTTTGTAGAAGGCCTGAACTAAGGCAACAGAGACTACGACGCATGAGCAATTTTCTTACATTATTCCGGCAAAAATGTGATTGCTGCGTAAGGATCAAAATATCATGGGCCACGTTGGCATTAAATGTTGAACATGACCAATTATTCAGGGGATGTCTCCTGTTCGTGTAATACCTAAACAGTCAGACTGGCTGTCTCTCCTGCCGATTGCTCCTAGAAGCTTCATAGAGGAAAAAATTTGTTGACCTGTCGGTCAAGATTGAAAACGGGCGTCATCTGTGTACAAGGACTTTCGCCATAGAGGAAATATTTTAATTTACATTTCAGTTCACATATTAATCTAAGGTTTATTTTATCAGGACAACTTGAAGCTTTTGTCTTAAGCAATTTTTTGGTTTTTTTTATTTTAATAAGACCGATGACTCAGCGTATGTCCCTTATTCGTGTAAGAAAAAATTGGAGAGAGACAGAGAGAGAGAGAGAGACAGAGAGAGAGAGAGAGAGAGAGAGAGAGACAGAGAGACAGAGAGAGGGGGAGAGAGATAGGTATACCTCAGCCTGGAAAGTATATCTCCGATCGATAATGCCTTTACTGACTCCCTAGCACTCCCTTGGTGCTAAAGCCGATGCATTTTGATCGAGTATTTGAAAATCACTTACCAAGTTCTATTAACCTCTGACAGATCATTAATGGGTCACCTATAAGAAAAGGCGTTATTGCTTTCAATTTTTCTAATTACACGTTCGTACGTATCCTACTGACCGATAGCCTGATTGCAAACTTAAAGTAGCCCATCGACTATATATATAATCATAAGTCGATAACTGTGTGTGACCAGTACGTGCGTCATAAAAAAAAGTACAAAATTTTGTGTTATAACGAATATATACGTCATGATCCGTCTATTTATCCTTGTCGCATTTCATTCACAAAATTTTATCATTACGGTTGTGCGTTTGCCATAACAATGTATTTTAGAACGTGTGTATGTGAGTTTGTCAAGTAATTTCATGATAACCCAATTTCATATAAACATGTACTCTGGGTATGACGGATACACTCGCATAACCAGCAAAGGGTTGACACACTCCTTATCCAAAAAGGTTGACGCACTCAACTAGTTGAGCATCATTTTGTACTTTGCTGAAGGCTAAGCAGCTTTTTCTGGCTTCGACATATACGCTATAGCGTATATGTTATCGACTTTTTATTAACCGTTGCATTAACATTTAACCGACCAATAGTCTATTAGCAGCTTACGCTAAGATACCGACAGTCAGTTATCATGGCTATTAATAGCAATTTGTTCTTTAGTATTGAGGTACAACTGGTTACTTTACTCTCTAAGCAGTTTCGTCCGATCCTACGAAACAAGCAAGCATTTCTCGGGATAGTCTAAAGCAAAATATCCTTAAGATCTGGGAAGAAGTTGGATTGGTGCCAACTTTTTTCTTTATATTCCCAGACCAAAAAAAATTCAGGAATGTAATGGAATCAACTATGCAGTAAGAAGCTTAAATACATTCGGTTCAAATCAGTTCGGTGCGATTTAATCCGGATTAATTGATTAAGTTATACGCTTCGCTTAAATTTGACTCGATTGGATTGAATTATTTCACCAACCAGAAGAAGGAAGGAGTTACCAGCACTATATCACACAAATAGGGGCAAATTCATTCTTGCGTAAGCGTTGGTATGCCCTACATTGATGTCTCACGTTCAATTTGAAGCACACAAAAAGTCTTAATGGAATATAATAAAATACAAGATCGGATATCATTCTCATAGGAAAAAAAACACTGAAACCTAAGCCATCCATTAATTATCAGCCACTACAAAATATAGTTTATATAATTTATTAAAACAGTAGGAGCTATTAAGCAATATTTTTTTGTTGTTCTATTCTTATACTTTTTGTATCAATTTTGATATCCATCACCGAAGGATGGAGGGGGAGTGTATTCATTTTGTTTGACGTATGCAACGCCCAGAAGGAAATTTCAGAGACTCTACAAAATAAATATAAATTCTCGGTCAGCATCACATTCTGAATCGATTAAAGCATGTCCGGTTGTCCGTCTGTCCATCTATCTAATGTCGATGGTAAAACATTCCTCTGGCCGTAAAAATGAAGCCATCGATATCAAATTTGGCAGAAACATTGCACGCAGGTTGGCGTGCGGAAAATAGGCCAAAACGGTCGAAGAACACGCATACAGTATCATGCTAACTGAGAACACGTCTGCTTTTCAAAAGGAATAAAAAATTGGTTTTTTGGTTATTACTCATAAACAACAACAGATCAATCTATAAAACTTTGGACGTACATTCTGTGGCTGATACTAGGGCACCCGTACAAAAATGGAAAAAAATTGACCACACTTACCTAATATTATTATAATCAAGTTTAAATTTTTTTTTAAAAGTGTACAGCGCGCAGAGGCAAACCCCATAAAGTATATAAATTTTCGGCGCAGCTATAGATTCGCAACACCTTTACTGTCCCTCTGTCCGTTCGTCCAACTGTGCAGTAAATATTCTGCCGTTCGCCTACAAATTTGCAAAAAGAGTTTGAAAATGGCCTAAACAAATGAGAGGATGCGTGCAAAGTAGAAAAAAATAAACCACGCCCACGCTATATTATAGAGTATCGAAGTTTATATTATTCCCCTTTTTTCAATTTTTTAAAAATAACGGTGATGGACGTACAGATTCGGAATACATATCCATCTGCTTGCCTGATCCCCTGTCCGTCTGTCCAGCTGCGATAAATATTCGCCCGTTCGCCTACAAATTTGCAAAAATAGTTTGAAAAATGACCTAAACAGATGAGAGTACGCGTGCAAAGTAGAAAAAAAAAGTCACACCCACCCTACGTTATAGAGTATGCAAGTTTATATTATTCATTTTTTTTGTAATCTTATATAAGATAACGGTGATGGACATAAAATATCCATTTCTTAGTTGTTTAAACAAAATTTTACGCTCGAATAAAACTCTTAGAGCATTCTCGCTTCTGCCTAATTGGCTGCACTATATAATTAACATATAATGCATTATTTATTCTCAATGATTTTAAACGCTCGCGTCGCATCGCGACTTGTTATTATAATAATTCCATTTAGATCTTAGATCTTAGACGTAGTAAACATTAAAATTAATCTTCACAATTTATCGACACGATCCCCAAAAGGCATTATACTGAAAGTGTTGATTTTTGTAACTACTTTGCTTGTTGCCACTCACTCTGTTTTGCATGCTAATGCTAATGCCGATGCTGATGTAAATAGCGTGAGCTACGCTGAACTCAATATCATGGAATATCATTTGAAAAATTGAACAAGATTTTTGCATCAAAGATAAAAGACAATGGCGCATAATTGTGCCAATGGCATAATATGATCGTAATAAGAACAATAAATACAACAGTTAGATAACACGCTATAAATATCAATCATAAAGAAAATAGGCTGACAATATTAAAATAAAATATTATTTAGATAGTTTGTTTAAAATAAAAAAAAATAAAATAAAAATAAAAAAAATACATACACACACACACACACACACACAGACACACACGCAGACAAATTACAAATAAGGCCAAAATCGCGCTTATCATAGTAATTAACAAATGCAACCAAGCGTTGCATTTCTTTACATATATCGGAATTAATAAGTACATAAAAAGCATGCATATCTGAAAAAGTATGTGTGTGTGTTTTTTTTTTTTAATTTTTTTGTGAATGCATTTTTCATACACACATAATTATTCGTAGATATATATGTACATATATTTTTGTTTTTATTTTTTTTTGCTACGAATCAGACAAATTTTTAATTAGTTTCTCTTTTATTTTTTCGCTCTACTAGGCTCGCGAAGAGCAAGCACGCCTCGAAATGAAACATCGTAAAGAAGAAGACGATCTCTATCGAAGGTTCGCTCGTAAACGTGAAGAGGAGGATCGTAAAATTCAATCGGAATTTGAAAATGAATGGGAACGTGAACTGCAACGTCTTACGCATAAATTTGAAAAAGAGTTGGCCACCTCGAAACGCAACCGTGAAGAACATAGTTTATTGACGTTGCGACATGAACAACAAAAAGAAGATTTAGAGAAGAATATGACATTGAGGCGGAGTAAAAAAAAGGAAAGCATAACGCGTAAAATGCTCGAACATGAACGTTACGAAACAGCGGCTCTAGTCGATCGTCAATCTAGTGAAATGTTGGAACTGATCAGTGCTCGCCGCTCAGAATACATGCAAAATGAAAGTATCTTTCTCGATGATGAATTCAGCGAAGGAACCATACCTCTAGAATATCCTTTAGTTGCGCCAGCCCCCCAACCACCGGCAGTTAGCAAATTTCAAATATATACCGATCCTATAGAGTTTGAAGATGTCGATCGTATCGCAATTTCGGTAAGTTTAACATTTTTTCAAACGTCCATAATGATATGATATGGAACTTAGCGGTATTTAGAGCTGTGAGAATAGATCAAGTCAAGCTTTCAGTTAAAATTAATTATGCAACACAGTCTAATCTGAAAACTTTATTTATTTATTACATTTTTCGGGAATTTAACCCAAACTATTATACGGAATCAAGTTTGATTGATGATTGGCGCTTGCATGTTGCTTAGTCGCACGTAATATGCAGTTAAAGTTGAGAAAAATGTAAAATCGAGGAACCGCTTCTATCAAAGAAAAGGCCTTACGATCCTTGCCTTGCAACGCTTATTTGCTGTACAAGTCGAAACAAGTCTTTATTGAGCTTTCATTCAACGACATTGCCCGAAAAACATCTTTTATTAGGACTTTCTAGAAACATATTTTGCTTACAACAAAAGTTTCGAACCGAAATCGTTGTTCAGAAATCTAGGTAACCCAATTGTCTACCCCTGCCGTCCGGCGACGGGTAACTTCCCTTAGAGAAGCTGGGATGTATTGCCGTAAAAAGTTTCTTGGTTTTTTTTTCTGTACAATCACTTTACTATTGAGGTCTATGCTATGAACATTTTGTAGATCTAAGAAATAATCACTGAGCTAAGAGCATAACATACCCCCATGGGCATAACATATACCCACAGACACTGCAGAATTTTTAAGGAGAACTAGGACTTGTGATTCCGAATGTTGGAAGCCCCGAATGCAAATGTAGGTGCATCTTAAAGAAGGAGACTGTTCTTTCTTCCTCCTTTTTACGCTTCGCGATCAAAAAAAAGTGTAACGGCAACTGAGGTTTCTTTTTGTCCTTCTGGTTTCTTAAGCCTTGGCGGTATGTCTTTTGGAGTGCTTCGTGATAGTTTTACTTAAAGCGTTAGCCTGATCACACCTTCGCCAGAGGAAAGAGTATGGGCCATCGCCTCATTCTTGTGCTTCAGGAATAGTGGTACCTAATAAGTAATAGTGATGGTCCTACTTTCGGAGAAAAGCTAGTAGATGTCTCTTAATTAATTTTTGTATCATCGGGCATTGAGGAGTCATGCATTCAGCGAGGAGGCATCCACATTCAACTAGAAACACATGGCAATCTCTACGTTTCTGTATCGCAAGAAATGTCAAAATGAGGAATGAAAAAAGAACCGGAATTAGTTGCAAACAAAGAACTTTGTTAGGAAAAGCTAATCGGAAGCTAATCAGATTCTTAACTGAAAATAGATAAGTTTATCCTTCAGCAGAAAAGGACAACAATAAAATAGATAAAGAAAGAGACAAAAAGCTCTGCCTGGCCCCTTGACAGGACAAGAATTTTCCACCCAAGCTCATGCTGCTACTTAAGAATAGAATAGTGCAGCCGGCTCCCACTGTCACAATCAATATCCTTGATAAGATAATGCAACCTCGGCTTGAACCTCAAACAGGATTAAGTCTAATAGACAAACTTTATTTTCTATCTAATCTTATCACATTTAATGGAAAAATGAGGAAGTAATGATCACTCAGTTATGCTCACATTATATTTGCTTGCTCGATCCTATCTCTATCTACTAGGTGGCTCAAGAAGATCAAAAAACCTTTACCGATCTAGTACGTCAGTTGGTGGGTCGTTGCACAACTGATATAGAAAAAGCGCGAACAATATTCCGTTGGATTACAGTGAAAAATTTAAATGCGATGCATTTCGATGACGATTTACGAGGTGATACACCAATGGGTCTATTGCGCGGTATTAAATATGGCACGGAAAGCTATCACGTCTTATTTAAACGTTTATGTAGCTATGCTGGTTTACATTGCGTTGTTATTAAAGGTTACTCGAAAAGCGCCGGTTATCAACCAGGTGTTAAATTTCAAGATTCCAGATTTCGTAATTCTTGGAATGCTGTTTACGTGGCGGGAGCCTGGCGCTTTGTACAATGCAATTGGGGCGCGAGGCATTTGGTGAATGCCAAAGAAGCGCCAAAAACCGGACGCGGTAAAAACGATAGTCTAAGGTAAAAACTTGAAGAGCTAGTAAGTGAAGCTTTATCCTCTTTCCTTCCCTTTTTTCTTTTTCTTCGTCCTAGATACGAATATGATGATCATTATTTTCTAACGGATCCGCGGGAATTTATATACGAATTCTTTCCGTTGCAAGAGGAATGGCAACTTTTAAAGCGACCAATTACCTTAAGAGAATTTGAAAATTTACCTTTTGTACGTTCGTTATTCTTTCGTTATGGCTTGCATTTTGCCGATGAGGGTTACGGAGCCGTGGTATTCACTGACGACACAGGTAAGAAATGTGTGTAAGAAAATTGATTTGCCAAATGTGAATATTTATGCGATCTTCATTAAAGGAGCTGCCACCGTACGCATTACGATGCCCACAGATATGCAAAGCTGTTTAATCTTTCATTACAATTTGAAATTCTACGATAGCGATGAGGATTCGTATGACGGTGTTTCGTTAAAGCGTTTCGTTATGCAATCAGTCGTTGGTAATATAGTAGCATTCCGAGTTCATGCCCCTTGTTCGGGAGCCTTTCTATTGGATATATTTGCAAATGCCGTTACACCCCAAGAATATTTAACCGGTGAACCCATGAAATTTAAGTCTGTTTGCAAATTTAAGGTAAATCAAGCAATGCTTTAAGTCGAGCAAGTCTTTGAAAGTCAAGTGTTTTGTTTTTTAACGAACTCCCTTAAGATATGCTGCGAAGAATTGCAAACTGTTATGGTACCTTTACCTGATTGTGCCAGTGGTGAATGGGGCCCGACGAAAGCTACTCGTTTATTCGGCTTAATACCAATTACACATCAGGTTAGTTTCACTGGAAAATACATTTACAAAAAAAAAGATTAAATTCTCTCATATCTCTTCAAGGACCCTCTAATCTTTGCTGGCCGTAGTTTGGATTTACAATTTCGCATGTCTCGACCTCTTACCGATTTTATGGCCACGCTGCATAAGAATGGCATTGAAGAGAAAAAATTATCCAAATATGTATCGCATAATGTTATGGACGATATTGTTACGTTTATTATAACGTAAGTAAAACTGAAGCAAGAATAGCTTCTCTGGTAAATGATTTATGTTCTTCTTTCTTTTGTGTTTCTTTACTTATCTGTCTAGCTTTCCGGAAGAGGGTCAATATGGTTTAGATATTTATACCCGTGAATTGGGTACAATCATGCATAGTAGTCATCATCATCAGCAATTGCATAATAGTTCAGGTTCGTCGTCGGGTGAAAAGCATTTGCTCACGCACTGTTGTAAATATTTAATAAACTCTTCAAAACGTAATTAATATGCGGATAATGTTATTTTATATATGCAAGCGTTATAAACAATTAATTATATGAAAAAGTTTTTCTTTTCTTTTTTTTTTATACAAAACACATGAAAAAATTTTTCATAATTCAATTTGAAAAAAAAAAAAAAAATGTTAATGTTTTATTTTTCTTTTTTTTTTTTAATTTTATATATATTTTAATTAAATTTATTACTTTATATAATATTATTATGTATAAAATTGGTGCTATAGCAAAAGGGAGAGGAAAGATGATTAAGAGCAATATATAGAGTTATCAAAAAAAAAAAAAAAAAAAAAAAAAAAAAAAAAAAAAAAGATAAAAAAAAAAAACAAATCATTTTTAATAAAAATAAAACAAAAACCACAACAACGCGAACAATTAACTTTAACTGACACAATTTTTAGTTTGTAAATAAAAGCAAAAAAAGTAATTACATAACGTAAAGTAAATACGTATGTATTTTATAAGAGCATGCAATTAATTTAAATGAAATATAAATGATTCCAATTAAATAAAGTAACTTTCCAATAATTACAATTAACCACCTCTCTTCTTCTTCTTCTTCTTCTTGGATATATTTTAGAGAACTGAAAAGTTTATAGATCTAATAAAAAAACACAACAAAACAAATCAAACAATAACGCGTTTGCCATTGTTTATTCGATTGTAAGAGAAAGTAAATTATGTACAGTCATGCAGTCACAACTTAAAGGGGAACAATTTTAAATCTCTTAATGATTGTAAAGACGAACAGGAACGGATTCAGGCGATTTAACTGAACTTAAACTACTCAGCGAAACAATCTGAGATCACGCTTGTTCTTTGGACAAAATTTCAAACTCGCAATCAATAAATGATCGAATGACACCCAACTGGACGGATAGACATTTCCAAACTATTCTGGCACTTATTGTGACCATTTTTTATGCTCCACAACACATGTTTGCATTCGCCATGAATTCTTGACAAATCCTCCTACGATGGATATACTGAGTGACACTACTTTTACTTAATTGTAGGCTTATTAGGCGTCCGATCAATACCGCTTTCGCACAAAACGTTCATATTTCTTTGAAATTCTAATTTTAATAGCAAGAATGAAGACATAGGTTCCCGTCTTGGATACATTTTTTCTGTCTTAACATACATTATAAGCATAACGCATAAGATATTTAATTCATCCAAAAGATATAGATTTGTTCCATTATCCAACAGCAGTTTAAACTGTAGCCGATATCTTTATTAATAATCGCTTTTATCCGTACTGCCTTAGAAGTGTAATAATGATGAGAAAACAGGCAAAGATTTAATAATGTGCTAATTTAACGGAGAGTTTGAGCAATTAAAGTGTACTATCGGGCATTACATTCAATATGGATCAGTAGCGATTGTCGTTTTGATAAATATCTCCTGAAATCTCTTTAATTTAATATCTGCTCAGGTTCAAAAACTATAGGCCTTTAGTATGATGAGAGGAAATGACACATTTTTAGCTCTTTCCGTCATCTTCTCTTCCAAGCTTTCTACCTCAGTTTATAAAGAGGTCATAACAGAATAGACGATGAAATTGTTCTGAGCTATAGTTGGACTGCTATTTCATTCGTATTTTTCAGCGTTGCAAAAGAAAGAAAAGCGACAATATCTCCGTCCTTGAATTTAAGATTTTTTCTTAAAAGAAATTTAGCTAAAAAATCTTAAAAAATTGTTTGGAGTGAACTTTAGGCGTAAACACTTTTTGTGGGAAAGAATGGGCGTACATTCAGTTTATCATAGCATTTGCCACATCCAGACGTCCTACGCTACATAAGGTATACATAGGCTTGATTAGTATCAAATTTTGAAACCATTTCAGTCCATTCGTCTGCGAAAGGTTTGTGATAAAACTTCCCCTGTTTAAGACATCAACTTCAAATTAAGCAAAATAATTAACGAGTTTTTGACATTGAAAACGATCCGAATCAGTTAAGGGACACACACATCTGCAGTAAAAGGTCAATGGAAAACGAGATTTTTCACTTTTTTTAATTTTTTTTTTTTCATCAAAAATGTAAGGGGATAGAAGATTCGGTCGCAGATAAAATAATTTTCTTACTTATTCACTTTCTAAATGAAAGCATTTTCATTACAATAAGTACTCAAAAGTGAAGTACATCGCTTTAATTGGATACCAAATATTTTTAGAGAATTTCTCTAACTTCTGATCTAAAACTTATAAAGGAAGAAATGTTTTGCCGACATAAATTAAAAAAAAGTTTGCTTCAAGTTGTATGACCTAAAAGCAAAGTCACTTGTAGTCTATTTAATTTACAAGCAGCAATGTTCTTACCTTAAATATCATATTAGTTTTTTGACCGTAAAAATTAGAAAGTGGTGTCATGCTTCTTTCTCTGAAGTGCAAAAAACAAGTAGAAAAGTTTTGCTCACGCCGGAGCATTCATCAGTATCTATTTTGTCGGCCGTCGCTTTAAGACAACTAAACAATGGTCGTATTCGTCTCTAGGACAGCACCTTGAGGAAGCTTTCCGACTATACGTACCTTTGTTGAAAAGATGATTTTAGTTTAGGTAAGAGTAAAGGAGTATGAATGAACCCGTATCTTTTGTGTGCATTACTCGTTCAGTTGCGTGAGGGTAACTTCTGGGATTCTTCCAGATTTTGATTGAATTGATATTACTACAACAATGCTCATATTAGTCAGTATAAACGAACTTAAAAGTTATCTTTACTGGTTTGGCTTTATGTTTAATTCGAAACTTTTGATACTCGACAAGACCAGAACATGGCAAATCAATCAATATTTCTATCGGAATATTTCATATATTGCATAGGGAACGTAAAAATTCATCAATTTTCTTAATAGTTTTTTCAAAACACCTTTTCTCATTCATAGCACTTGGACATAAAAAAATCATCAATTTTCATACTTTTTTCAAAACGCCTTTTTTCATTCAACTGCAATTTCTGAAGCAAATTCTTTATACAAAAAAGTCCTCTACGTCGAAAATCGCGGAATACTTTTTTAAAATTTTTTAAAATTAATTTGCCATTTGTTACTT